GTCAGGAGGCAGCCTTGAAAACTCATAAAACAAAGTTCCAGGCAGCTGCTTACTATTGGTCATCTCTGGTCTAACCTCTTCGCAGGCGGGAAGACCTAGGCTCAGAAAGCAAAAGTGACTTGCTCAAGGTCACATCATCAGTTGGTGGCAGAGTGGAAGTAGAACCCAGGGCTCCCAAAACTAACCTGGTATTCTTTCCACCCTACCCCTTTCCACTGGAGCCTCAGAATGTGTTCAGTCCAGGAGCTGGCTGCCAGTATCAGCTTATATTTCTGCACATGTTAAAAGGTCAGTGATAAGAGGCTGCTGGTCCCAGCTAGGGCCTACTAACTGCTCAGGGCTCCAGCTAGACTCCAACTTAAAGTATTCAGGGCCCAAGTGGGTCTGCAAAGAAGGAAGTGTGGTAATGGGGGAGAGAGAGAAACTACTTTAAAATACTCCACTTATATTTTAAAGGAAAATGGCTTTAAATTTTTTCCTCTAAATTATTACTATATCCATCATTCTAAACAGGCTGGATTTGTTGCATACAAGCAGGGTCTGTCCTTGAGACACGACACATGCAATTCCAAGGGCTACCACTAGATGACGGCACTCGGCCAAGTGAAAGGTGCCTGCAGGCTTGGGTTGAGGGCCTTTGAAATAAGGGGCACTGCACTCTCCATATTTGAATGGGCTCTTTTTATTACAAATAACTTCCTATTTAAAGCAGTGATATGAATATTCACCTAAATACCAATTATTGGTTAAAAAAAAAGCATTCTAAGAAAGAAGTAAAGAAATACCCTCTGGGTGTCATCCCTCTCTTGGTCTCAGTTGTTCCTTTATACCCCTCGGCAGCCACTGTTGCTGCCACTTTCCACACAGGGAGGAGCTTCTTTCCTTCTGTGAGGATGTCTCAATACCCCCTACTGCTGTAGGATTCTCTCCCTGCCTCGCCTCTTCAGCACAGATTAACTGGGATTTAACACAGAATTCTGGGATTTAACCCAGAATTCTCAGTAATTGTATATGTATATGCTCGATTTCACCCAATTTAGACTGGAAATAAAGTATCAAAAATATCTACCCTTGGGAATCATTTCAATTTTAGTAGGGACACTCTGAATGTTTATTCTGTGTTGAATAAATGTCACATACGCTTATTCTGAAAAAAGAGCGGAATGGCATATGTAAATTTTACTTGAGTATATGTGTGTTTAAATTAAGTCAAAACTTGCTTTGGGAAATATCTGAGATTGTGTAACCTCTATAAAGATAACTGGGGGCAGGAGAGTCCCCCACAGTACTGGAGGGGGCAGCTCTACCAGGTCACCCCACCCCTATCCCTTGTCTCCTGATGATGGACTAGGAGAAATGAATCCAGGCTGGGCCGAACAGATTCCTTCCTTTGGGAATTTACATGTGAGACATAAGGGTATCGACAAGGGAGAAGACTTGCTGAAAGGCTCTAGACTCAAAGGCTGAGGTCTCCATTTTGACAGCTTCGATGGGCCCTGGACAGAGGCTGGTCCACGGAGACAGAAGGAAGCAGACACGTGGAATGAGAGGGGCCAGAGACTACACAGCTCTACAGAGAGCTGCTGAGCTGTACCACAGCGCTGCATAATCTCGTGAGACCACATCCCCGTGGAGTGTGGTGTGAGTGGTGCCCACTGGGGTTGTGCAGTTGCCTCGGCTTCCCAGGACCATCTGGTCCCTAGCTCTATTTTCTTTTCCTGTGTGAAGTTCCCCTGTAGCATTTACATTTTTTTTTCCCTTGGGTGCTGCTGGAGTGGGTTTTATTTAAAGCAAATGATCACTGACCCAGATAGTTCTGAAATCTGTGAGCTGGGCTGTGTACTACATGATGCCAGAGGACTGTCCATCCACCATGCTTTCTATGGGAGTGGCACTTCCCTGAGCACAAATCTGGGGGAGCACATAGGATGAGGAGCCTGTTTTGAACATGTTGTTTCACCTGCTTGTCCCCATTTGTACAGTGGGGATCATATTAAGCCTCCTGACTCACCTCTCTGGGTTCTTGGGAGGCCCCAAAGAGACAGAAGGGTGCTCTGTGTCCTCACTGGGACTATGATGCTCACCTGTTCAGGCCCTGGCAGTAACCGATGGAGGGGTTCTGCCAGGAGAAGGCCAACAACACCCGGCGGAGCTTGTCGGGGAAGCTGGAGGTAGGACAGGTGAAGTGTTTGTTGTTGGGGAAGGTACGGTTCAGGTCCAGCTCGATCTGGCGGGCAGCAGGGTGCTTACAGGCCTGGCCCCGGCTCAGCAGCTCCTGGTAGCGGCCAGGGGCCTGCAGGTGCTGAACGCGGAGGTGGACCAGCCACCTCCAGACACGTGGCCGGTGCTCGCAGGACACGCCTGCCCGCAGCAGCTGCTTGAGCTCAACCGAGGGTGTAAGCTCACCCAAGGCAGCCCAGCGGTCTCGCAGTGGCCGCTCCACAGCCTCATGGGCCAGCAGGTGGTGGGAGCGCACCTCCAGTGCCTGGATCTTGGCCAGCAGCTTCAGGTCTTCTACCTCGTAGTTGGGCACCGTCAGGAAGCCATACTCATCATACTCGCTGCCAGCAAAAAGCCCATATTAGCAACACCTTGCAGAGCCCTTCCCCAGATGAGGGGCAGCATGGAGGGGGTGGACCCTGGGCAAGGTTCCTGCCTTGGCTTTGCCACAGGTTAGACATGCAGCTCTAGACAGGTCACTTCAGTTCCCTGAATTTCGGTTTGCTCATCGTCCAAAGAGTAGAGGAACACCTGCCCTGCCTCATGAAGACCCACTGAGATCCTCTGTTATAAACTGCTGAGGGCTCAAACAGTGCCTGGCACATAGTAAGTGCTGCAGAGACATTAACTCATTCTGTGCAAATATAAAGGACCCTCTTATTACTCCATGTTGCCTCAGGCCCAGGGAGTTTTGCATTGCCAATACAGAACCCCACTTCCACAGCTAGTAAGCCCAGGATGGATGGAGAGCAGACAGCACCAATGACAAGCAGAAATGGGAGAGCTGGGGATCTATTCCAGAAGTCCTTTCATTTATTCAAAATTGATTTGCCCCTACTTGTGTGCCCTGCATGTACTATCTCACTGAATCCTACTGATCTTACGTAACAGGGATCTTAGCCCACATCTTATGGAAGCTGTATATGGGGCTCTGAGAGGTAAAGTGACTTGTCCAAGGTCACACAGTGAGAGAGACAAGTTTGGCTCCAAAACCTGGGCTCCTACCACTAGGCTACCCAGCCTCTGGGGGCCTTTAACCCCAGCCATAGCCCCTTCCATCATATTTAACTGTCCTTGTCCACTGTGCTCAGCAAGAGCTTGGCTCACGGGAGGCTGGCTTGTCTCCTCTCCTCCCCTTCTCTGGGATGCAGCCTGGAGAAGTGAAGGACAAGAAAGACGCTCTGGAGGCAGACCCAGGCCAGCTGCGCTAATGTGCTGTGTGGCCCTGGGCAACAGGCGGCCTCCTCTGACCCTGCACTGCCTCTGCTGTAAACTGGGGCCCATCCCAACCACATACTCATTTATCTTAGCTTATGGGGAGGTAAGGGATATGCAGTGCTTGCACACGGTCAACGGGGCAGCCGGGGACCCTCAGGTCATGCAGAGCCAGCCTTGCCCTGGCCAGCCGCTGTACTCACCTAATGGGGCTCAGCTCCACACCATCGGCAGAGGCATCGCTGGCTTCCCACTGCAGTGCCTCCTGGATGAGTTGCCTGAGCAGCTCGGAGCACTCGCTGGCCTCGTTCCCCACGGCCTCTTGCAGCCTCCGCAGCCCTGCTAGGTACTTGCTTTCCACCTGGCAGTTCTTGGCTTGGAGATAGGCACACTGTGGGAGGGTGGGAGAGGGCTGGTCAGGACACCTGGCTGGGCTTGGGCTGCCCCAGAGGCCTGAGGCCTGAACAGCTTTAGGTAGCGCATCTCTTCTCTCAGCTCTCATCTCCCATCCCCTCCCCACTCTCAGCTCTTCATGGAAGGGAAAGGAGATGGGCCCCTAATCCCAGGATTTACAGCAAGGCAGAAAGGGCTCCAGGCAAGAGAGAACCAGGACCAGGGCTAGAGCTGGATTCAAAAGAAAGAGGGGTGGGGTGGGCAGGGACAGCACAGGCTCTTGTCCGACCTGCAGTCCCATCCTGGTTCAGTCTACTGGCTGGGTGACCTGCGGCAAGTTACTTAACTTCTCTGTGCCTTAGCTTCTTGATCTGAATGATGAGGATAATACAGAGTTTACCTCAGGATTCTGGTGAGGCTCAGATGAGCCCATGTGTGTAACACGCTTCCCAGGGCACTTGGCCTAGAGTGAGCTCTCTGAGGTATTACTGAGCAGTGTCCAGGGGATGGACATGAACACTGGACACTGCCCTTGTGCTTTCTGCTGCCCCTAGGTGGGCTCTTTCTGTTCCTCCAACACACTACCTATCTCCTATCTCATAGAACAAACACTGTACACCTCCCATCTGCCTAGCCCCTCCCTCAATCTTGAACTTTTGTGTTTCTATTTCTACAAGCTGGGTGGTGCTGGACAAGTCAGGTAACTTCCCTGGGCCCTGTCTTCCTTCTCTGTAAGATGGAGATGGGAAACATCTGCCTCGTAGCACTGCCATGCCTCTGGGCCATCCTGGGATGGCAGAATGGCAGCATTCCGGCCAAGGTTGCCGTTCTGCTGCACCCCTGCCTGGTCACCATCTCCGAAAGTCTGCCGAGCATCGACTCCAAGCCCGAGAGCCTGTTCTACTTGTTCCAGTTGTCTCCCACCTCCGCTTCCTGTGTCCCCTCACCAAGAACCTTCTTAGGGATTCTGCCACAGACTCCCAAGTCTCCCCACCTCCAGGCTCACCTCCTTAACTCCACCAAGCACCCAGTTTCCTCAAAACCTACGTCTGACTGAGGCCCTCCCCACTCAAAACCTCTCAATAACTGCCAGCTTCCTCAGCTGTGCTCCCAAGTCCTCATCCTCCAGCCTGATGGCTCACTCCCACACCACTCCCCCTCCTTGCCTCTTGGCCTATAGGTCCTGACAACCTGTCTCCCTTCTTGGAAGGCTTTTCTCCACTGTTCGCCTGGACAACACTAACTCACTTTTAGGACTCCGTTCAGAAGGCACCTCAACCAGGAAGCCTTCCTCGACTTTCTTCCACTCTTTGGGCCCCAAAGAACTGTGTGTGCCCAACTGCATCTTGATTGTGTTCGACTCCTTCACTAGTCTGTACCCTTCTTGAAAAGTCTGAGGACTGGGGTTAGGTCTTTAAATGTTCAGTAGAATTCATCAGTGAAGGCTTTCTTTGTTGGGAGATTTCTAATTACTGATTCAATCTCCTTACTAGTTATAAGTCTGTTCAGATTTTCTATTCCTTTCTGATTTAGTCTTGGCAGGTTTTATGTTTCTAGAAATATGGCCATTTCATTTAGGTTTTCCAATTTGTTGGTATGCAATTGTTCATAATACTCTTAAATTCTTTTTATTTCTGTAGAATTGGTAGTAACGGCCCCACTTTCATTTCTCTTTTTCTCTTAGGCCACTTATCTTGAGGTTTGTCAGTTTTGTTCATCTTTTTGAAAAATCAACTTCTGGTTTCACTGATTTTCTCTATTGCTTTTTGTTCTCTATATCATTTATCTCCGCTTTAATCTTTATTACTTCCTTCCTTCGGCTAGCTTTGGGTTTAGTTCTTTTTCTAGTTTCTTAAGTTGTAAAGTGTGGTTGTTGATTTGAGATCCTCGTTGTTTTTGAAAGTAAGCATTTATAGCTATAAGCTTTCTTCTTGCATGGCTTTCATTGTATCCCATAAGATTTAGTATGTTGTATTTTCTCTTCTATTTGTCTCTAAGTATTTTCTAATTCCCTTGTGATTTCTTCTTTGATTCACTGTTTAATAGTATGTTGTTTAATTTCTACAAATTTGTGAATTTTCCAGTTTTACTTCTGTTATTGATTTCTAACTTCATTCCACTGTGGTTGGAGAAGATATTTTGTATGACATTTGTCTATTTAAATCTATTGAGACATAATTTGTGGTCAAGCATATGGCTGGTCCTGGAAAATGCCCCTTATGCACTTGAAGAAAATGTGTATGCTTGTTGTAGTTGGGTAGTGTTCTGTATACGTCTATTAGATCTAGTTGGTTTATTATGTTGTTTAAGTCCTCTATTTCCTTACTTATCATCTGTCTGGTTCTACCCATTATTCAGAGTGGGGTACTGAAGTCTCCAAGTGCTATTGTAGAACTGTCCATTTCTTCTTTCCATTCTGTCAGTTTTTGCTTCATATATTTTGTCAGCCAGTTATTCGATGTATAAACATTTATAACTATTGTTATCTTCTCACTGTATTGAACTTTTTATTAATATATAATGTCTTTGTCTCTTATAACTTTTTTTAAAATTTAAAATCTCTTTTGTCTGATATTAATATAGCCACCCTGCTCTCTTTTGGTTACTGTTTGCATAAGATATCTTTTCTATCCTTTCACATTCAATTTTTTTGTGTCTTTGGATATAAAATGAATCTCTTATAGACAGCATATAGTTGGATCATTTGTTTTTATCCATTCTACAAATCTATATCTTTTGCTTACAGTCTAATTCATTTACATTTAAAGTAATTATTGATAAAGAGGGACTTACTTCTGTCATTTTGCTATTTGTTTTCTATATGCCTTAAAACTTTTTTATCCTTCATTTCGTGCATTACTATCTTTTTTGTGTATAGTTGATGTTTGATAGTGAAATGTTTAAATTCCTTTCTCATTTCCTTTTGTATATATTCTATAGCTATTTTCTTTGTGGTTACCATAGGGATTACATTTAAAGTTCCTAAAGTTATAACATTCTAATTTGAATTTATACCAGCTTAACTTCGTTAACATACAAAAACTCTGCATCTTTATAGTTCCGTTCCTACCCTTTCGGTTGTTGATGCCACAAAATTACATCTTAATACACTGTGTGCCCCAAAATATAAAGTACTAATTCTTTGAAATGTGTTAGTCTCTGAAATTATATGGAAAACAAAATGTAGAGTTCCAAACCAAAGTTACAGTACTACTAGCTTTTAGACTAATAATTGTTTTTTTAAAATGTATTAGTCTCTTAAATCATATAGAAAACAAAAAGCAGAGTTATAAACAATTTTTATAATACTAGCTTTTATAATTGCTCATGTATTTACATTTATCGAGATCTTTATTTCTTCAGACAGCTTTCAGTTACTATCTAGTGTCCTTTCATTTAACCGTGAAGGACTCCCCTGAGCATTTCTTGAACATCAGGTCTAGTGGTAATGAACTTCCTCAGCTTTTGTTTATCTGAAAATGTCTTAATTTCTCCCTCATTTTTGAAGGAAATTTTGCCAGATATGGATTCTTGGTTGATGGCTTTTTTTCTTCCTTTCAGCACTTTAAATATATCAGCCTACTGCCTTCTGGCCTCCAAAGTTTCTGATGAGAAAGCTGCTCATCACTTTATTGAGGATCACTTGTATGTGATGAGTCAATTCTTTCTGCTTTCAAGATATCTCTTTGTCTGTGACACTTGGAAGTCTGACTATAATGTGTCTTGGTGTGTGTCTCTTTCAGTTTATCTTACTTGATGTCTGTTAAGCTTCTTGGATGTTTATATTCATGTATTTCAAGAAACTTAGGATATTTTCAGCCATTATTTCTTTCAACATTCTCTCTGCTCTTTTCTCTCTCTTTTCCTTCTGGGACTGCCATAATATAATGGGTACGTTGTTCCACTTAATGGTATCTCCTGGATCACTTAGGCTGTTCATTTTTCTTCAGTTTTTCTCTTTTTGTTTCTGACTTGATATTTCCATTGTCCTTCACTGATTCTTTCTGCCTTTGAATCCCTCTAGGGAATTTTTCATTTCAGTTATTGTACTTTTCAGCTCCAGAATTTCTTTTGGTTTCTTTTTAGATTTTCTTTATCTTTATTAAGATTTCCACTTTGTTTATACACTGCTTTCTTAACTCTTCACATCTTGCTTTAGTTCTCTGAGCATCTTTAAGATATATATTTTAAAGATTTTGTCTAGTATATCTATCTACCATCGGGTCTTTTTCAGAGACAGTTTCTGTTGATCTATTTTTTTCCTTTCAATGGGCCATACTTTCCTGATTTTTAATATACTTTGTGATATTTTGTTGAAAACTGGACAACTGAATATAATAATGTGGTAACTCTGGAAATCAGATTCTCACTGTTTCCTAGGGCTTTCTAGGTATTTATTTTTATTTTATTTTAATTTAATTTAATTTAAATTTAATTTAGTATCTTAGCAAACAGGAATGTGTGGGGAACACAGATTTTAATTTAATTTAATTTAATTTAATTTAATTTTTTATTGTTGCAGGCTGTCTCTGTGCCAAGGATCGGCCTGAGGTGTAAACTTAAGGTCTTCTCAGGTTTTCCCTAGGCATGCATGGTTGCTTTCTAATTTTCCCATATATGCAGTTATTTTTGAATGTCTAGTCTTTAATATGTGGCTCTCAAAAGGGGGAAAGAGAAAAATGAAGGGGGTAGTGAAAGGAAAATGAAGGTTGGGGGAAAGGGTGCCAGCTCTTTAAATTCCCTGGAAGTTAAATTCTCAGGAGTGGGAGGGGCTTCCAACAACGGGGGAGGTACAGCGACAATGGCTGCCTGCCCCCTCCTCTGCACCCCTGTGATCAGAAGCAGCAATTGGCAATCAGCAGAGAACTCTGATACTTGGAAGATGGCTCATGAAGGACACAGTCCGAAGGGAGAGCAGACAGGTAATGAGGAGAGAGTGAGACAGAGGTGAGATGGCGAGGGACTGGAAGAGTGGCAGGAATGGAGGTGGCCAGAACAGGGCTCCAGCTTTTACCTTCATCAGGAGAGCCTTCTCCTTCTCAGCCACCCGTCTCCAGATCTTTGTGACCTGGTGGATCTCAGAGTTCAGAAAGTGGTTCTGGGTCCGGTATGCTTCTATGTCATCCTAGAAAAGAGGTCAAAGCAGTTAAGGAGTCGCACTGGAAACATTTCCTTGGTCCTCACCCTTAAACGAGCTGCCAGCACTTCCTTTCTTTAGAAATTTCCAATAATGCAAACAGAAAAGGAAGTCTGGGGAAAAAATATTCCTGATAGCCCCCTTCTCTGATCTTGATCCCAGCATGAAATGGTGGAGAGAGCACAAAGCCTGGAGTTCAAATCCTGGCTCTGACTTTCTGGCTGGGATGCCTCACTGAACTGCTCTGACTCTGTTTCCTTATCTGAAAAAGGAATAAATACCAACTACCGCACTGGGCCTCTGGGAGACTAAGTGAGGTAACCCGTGCCATAGTATTAAGTATAGGGACCAAAACATAATAAGCACGTAAGTAATGTTTGTTTTCAAAATAAACATATTTTGCCATATATTTGTGAACATATTGAACAATTTTGGGTGGATTTTTTTTTTTTTTACAAAGTGTCACTTTGTAAATACTTTTCTATGTTGCTACATAAGTTTCCCAATGATCATTTTTAATGTCAGATGACTTTTATTTGGGTAAATTTACCAAAACTTAGTTATAGTCCTCTTGTTTTTTCACTTAAGCCCTGGGTATTTTCAGTTTGTTTTTGACTATGAATAATGTGGTGATGCATATCTGAGCCTAGAGTTTTCCTTTCACAAGCTGTCTAGTGGAGGGAGTAAGATCCTGTGACTGGGGCCAACAAGGAGAAGCTGGCCAAGCACTGGGGAGGTTCAAACAGGAACCTGAGCCTCAGAAAGGAGTAGGCACAACAATGGCTTTCAGTCTTCATTTTGTTTGGATGGACACTGCAGAAACAGTGGACCACACATGCTCACAGCTATACCTAGCAATTCCAGGGCATGTACTAGCTGAAACGCAAGAAAATGTCCTGAGTGGTAGGTAGGCTGAATGTGAGACACCACTGCAGGGATGACTGTGGATAAGCCCTGATTTACTTGGACATTAAGATCATCACACCTAACCTGAGCTGCTTCATTATCAGAGAAGGGTCACTTGTACACAGCGCCCAGGTGATCCTGACCCTGCCCGGGTGGGCCTTCATTCTGGCCAACATCCCTCCCACTCCAGAAGCTCCAATTCATGTCCAGGGTCTGCTGCCTTCTGCCTACATAACTGACACAGTGGGAGGGCCACATGTTCCCAGGGCTCTTTAGCTGGAAATAAATGTCCTGGGCTGACTTCATCATATGGACTCTGTCGAGGCTCTCCATGGCCTCACCCACCCTGGCTGCTCCCTGCTTCATCTCCCTTACTGTACCTGAGCTGCAAGGCTGTACTCAGGCTGAGCTTGCTCTCTGCTCTCTTCTCCTGGCCATGATTCAGGCAGTTCCAACTCCCCAACCTCGGCTTCCTCCTGCCCTCCAACTGTGTCTCTGCCCTAGATCAAAATCTCAGCTCATTCTCTTGGAAATGATGCTGCCTACTCTTCTGGGTAAATGTCATGACCCCTACTTCCTCACCCTTACGTGGAAGGGGCAGTGAGGTTAGTACAAACTCTCATGTTTGCAGTGTAATTGCCAACCTCCTGTGAGCCTCAGGAGTTTTGAGGACCACACCCCACTCCCATGATAGTCTTACACTTTAGTGTCTGAAGATTTAGAGAACTCATGAACACACAGGCTGTGTGGGCTCCCTGCACCATCACCCCTACCCCCATCCCCAGGTTGAGCACATTATCTTATTTAATCCTCCCAGCAAACCAGAAAGTAACACAGAGGATCTGAAAGGATAAGTAAGTTGCCCGAGGTCACAGAGCTGGTACTAAGAAGGGTGTGACTGAACTCAGGTCTGTCTGATTCTAAAGGCAAGTCCTAACCACTGCATTTACTGCTCAGACACTCCCTAAGCTCCCTGCCTGCTGGAATCCACCTGGCCGTCAAAAGTCTAGTTCCACCCTTCAAGACTGTCCTTGGTAGTCTCCTGGGTAAATGCACACAGGCTGGTCTGATCTCTCTTACTCTGCAGTAAAATAATGTCAACATGCAGGTGCTGTCTGAGTCCAGCACTGCCTGGATATAAACTCTGCCTTCACCACTGAGCCCTAGGACAAATTACTCATCCTTTCTACGCCTTGTGTCCTCATCTGGAAAACAGGAATAATAATAGTACCACCTATGGGGTTAATAGGTGGAATCAATTAGTTAATACGTGTAAAACTGATTGGTGGCTGGCATGCAGCTTAGAATGGTGGCTGGCATGCAGCAAGTGCAGTAAAAGTGTGACCTTGCTCACTGAGTTCTCGCATCTCTGAGGGCTCTTCTTACCCACTGAGCTCCCCCTCTGCCTGCTGAGAGAAGATCTCTTACTGTGGATTCTTCCCGAATGCCCAGGAAAGTGAACAGCTTCCAGGCAAGGGAGGAGAAGCGTTGCTAGTTGCCTGAGTTCCTACTCTGTGCCAGGCCCATTTCTCTCATGTTTATTATTGTATGTGATTTCTTCTTGACCACAGTAGTGTGGTTTAAGTATTAAAATACTATCATTCCCCCTTTACAGATGAGGAAACAGGCACAGAGAAGCGAAGTTCTCCTTAGTCATGCAGCTGGTACGGAGGGAGGCAGGATCCAAACCTGGGTGTGTTCAGTCCATAGTAGGAATCGAAAACTACTGCCAGGTGAGTCTGTGGCTGGAGACTGCTCTGCACCACCACCTGGTTCTGCCTCTTGTTCCCATCCCAGGTCCAGAAGGTGCTCACTGGCATTGCCAAAGCTTTGGACATGCCGCATAGTGTACCCTGTTTCCAGCCCAGAGAGGTAGGTCAAGGGTGAGCACCTCTGGAGCAGCAGTGGGTATAGGGTGAGGGTGGCATCTGGGGAGCACCTTCCCATGCAGCTCATTGCCCTACCTTAAGTATTCTTCTTGGCTCAGAACTGTAGGGAGGAAAAAGAGAGACTTCAGAGGAGAGAAAAGCCATACGACAGTTACCAGTGAAGCGAAGCAGGAAAATACAACTGGACGAAGGGGACAGGAGGAAGAGAGTCCACCGCCTGCCTCACAGGGATCAGGGACCTGGAAACCTCTTTGGGGAATGCTGCGTGGACTAGCCATGTGCTAATGGGGAAGGCAATGGAGTGGGTGCGGGGAGACCTGGGATCTAGCTGTGACCCTGCCACTTGTGCTGTGTGACCCTGGACTAGTCCCTTTCCTTCTCCAGAGCTCGGTCATCCCTGCCAGAAAATGAGGGGGTGGGGGACCAGATCTCTGAGTCTTCCCAGATTAGAGAGTCAAGGTCGACGATTCCACTCTCGAAATGACAGCTTCAATAATAAGGGGACATTTCCTTAAAGGTGGCTGCCTTCAATCACAAGGCAAGCAGGAAATGTGAACACACTCTGTCCCCAAACTTAGATGAGGGATTTTTGATGGGTCTTCTATTTTTTCCGAATCAGACACCTAAGGCTAACAAATAAGAAACACTAGTACACGCAACTCTTTCTAGCATGAAATGCCTTAGATTTGCAGCTAAGTTTGGTTGATATGAATCATAACCAGGGTATCCTCATATCCAGGTTCACTGATAAATTAAATTCCTGCACATACAAATTCAGGGGCACATTCAGTCTGCTAGGTGAGTCCGGCTTCCAGTCAACTCCGTGGCAGTCTGGAGGCACGAAGAGAGTCTATTTCTCTGACCCCTCTGGAGTGGATGCCAGCAGGATGGGGAGTGTGGGGGGACAGAGAGCAGACACTCTTTGGGCGGAGTAGGGCAGGAAAGCAACCTGCTGGAAGCCATTTTTGCTGCTGTGTGAAGGACTGAGAGCTGTCTAACCTAGCTGCATCTGCATTTGAAAAGATTTTCTTTTGATTTTGAACTCAAAAAAATCTCTGATTTTATGGAAAAAAACTCAGAGACTGGTTACATGGTTTTTCATGCTGAAAGAAGTGGAAGGGAATCTGGGTTTCATGTCACCTTCCTTTATGCTCCCAATAACTGTGTGAGTAGGAATGGTCAGGCCGTTTTATATTCAGGTCAGAGAAGTTGCCTGACACCACACAGCTAGTAAGAAGCAGAGCCTGGATCCAAACACAGGGTCTGCCTGACTTCAGAGCTTGAGCAGCAGCCACTGTACCACACTGCCCACTGGTCTCTCAAAAGATTCTGGATTTCTCTTTTTTACCTCCCTCTCCCCATCTCCAACAGCGCAAGAGTTCCCATGGTTATACATATGTATACATGTGTGGCTGTGAGTGGCAGGGTTTGGGGCAGGACTGGCCCTGGTTATATGGCTGCCTTTAGGGACAGTGGGACTGTGAGCACCTATCCCCAGCTTTGGGCCTCCACATGGTCTGGCAGCTTCTGTCACCACTTTCTATAGAGGACACTGTAGCCCATGACAGACATCACACCTAAAATAAAGTTCCTGACACCCATGCTGTGACTGGTCCCTGTGGGATGGGGCAGCCTTTCCCGAGTAAGAGCCACAAGCCTGGGCCGAGGTAGGGGCAATAGTGATAAGAGGCAATAGCGATAAAGAGGCAAAGAAGCTGAAAGGCTGCAGAGCAGACTGACTAGTCAGAGATGTGAGCTCCAACCCAATCCGAGTCCCCCACTTCCTCAGCACACAACTCTGGGCAAGTAACCATTTTTCCCAGCCTCAGCATCAGCATCTGTAAAGTGGGGAGCACATAAGTGACTGCCTTACAGGGCTAGTACGAGGATTAAATGAAATAATGCAGGTAAAGCACTTAGGACAGTGCATGCCACACAGTAAAAAGTATAAATAAGAGCAGCGATTAGCGTCATCATCACAAGCAAGTCACAGCCAGCCACAGGGTACCTGCGCTGTGTGTAGGAGTGCTGGGGGAGGGCCGCCTTGGAACCATGGGGCTCCCGAGGGCATCGGTGTAACACTAAAAAAACCTGACAGGCCAGGCCCCAGACATAGCTGGTGTAGCACTTAGGAGTCTGACTTAGGCTCTTTCATCTCCAATTTGATAATCTAGAGATACTTTCCCTCTTCAGCCTGGGATATCATGAAAAGGTCAAATTGCACTGAGTCTTCTGGTTAAGAAAGTAGGGAAGTGTGTGGTGATATTTCCACTAACATTTATTTCAAATATAAACATTCCAGTTTTAAGGGTTATCCCTGCTCTATCTAGAAAAGCTTTAGGGTCGAGAGCAGTGCCCTCCCAAGAGCTCTGGGCCTGGAGGAAGGGGACCCTACCTTCAGGTGCTCCATCTTCTCCTGTTGGCTCAGGAAGTCCCTGTCTGCAGCATCTGAGGGCTCGGGGGGCTGGTTAGGGGGATGCAAGAAGTCTTGGGTGACCTTCTCAGACAGCATGCAGATGACCTGCTGTTTGGCCTGGTTCTTCTCCATGAGCAGCTGCACGTGCTGCTGCAGCTCTTGCACCTGCCGCTCCAGCAGGCTCGCCGTCTGTGTCAGGATCTCTCGCTCCTGCTCCAGGGCCTCCACACGCCTGCTCAACTCTGCGATCTGCCGCACTTTGTGCCGTACCAGCTCCAGCCGGTCTTTGTCCTCGGCCGCTGCCAGGTATGCACTGGATGCCCTCTTCTCCTGCTGGGCGGCCTCCAGTGCCTTGTGCAGGATCCTTACCAGCTCCTGAGTGGGGAAAAAGAAGCACCTTGTGAACTTGGAGAAGGCCTGTTAGGTGCCAGAGGTGAGGCCTATGTTCCCACCAGTTCTAACAGTGCTGAGAGGTGGCCAGCATCATCCTCTGAGTCATCTCATCTCAGTTTCCATTTTCTCATGTTCTGATCAAGAGAGGTTTAGCCTGGCACATGGTTCCCCAGCTAAAGACTACACTTCCCAGCCAAGCTTACAGCTGGGTGTGGCCAAATGAAGATTGGAGAATACAAGAAATGACGTGGGCAGCTTCTGGGTCATACCTTTGAAACCACTATACACATGATTCCCTGGTCCAATTCACTTCTGTCTTGCTGGGAAAAGGCAAGAACTAGAGCAGCCACTTTGAGCTCACAAGCAGAAACTACATGTCAAGAATAGTAGAGTTGCCCCATAAGCTCAGAGCTGCTCACTTACCTCTGGATTCTCTCATGGAAATAAATTTCCACTGTTGTTTTAGGCCACAGTACTTTTGAGGCTTTTTTGTTACAGCAGCTGAGCCTGTACCTAATACATGTCCATTTTAGAGATGAACGAACTGAGGCCCAGCAGAGTAAAGTGAAATTTAATCCCGAATCATCCAGACTACAAAGCCTGTGTGCTTGGTCAGTAATGAAAGCAGAGGTGGCAGCGACGTGACACATGGCCTTGTTCTTCCCCCCCACTCCCGTGGCAGGCATTACTAATTAACTGCAAAACTCCTTCCTGCTAAGCCTAGCTGAGTGGGAGAGCCGTGTACAGTGAGAACAACACCCAAGCGGTAATTATCAACTGAACTGAGACAGCATTAGAGAGGAAAACACACTGGCAATCCTCATGCCAAGCCACACACACATTCAATCGATTAGTGCCTGGCCCCTCAGCCCACCGAGTAAAGCTTTGCAGGGCTGGTGTAAAGAAATACTAGAGCAACAGACCTCAATTTACTCCTTGGCTGGGCACTTGATTCACAAGGAAACTCAAGGTCTGATTGGCTCCCCATGCCTTCCAGCCTTCAACCTTCCCAGACCTGTCCCAAAGCAGGAGTGTGGATTCATTCAGGGCCAGGATCAGAAGCCAGGCCACCTAGCCACCAGTCCTACACGAATCTCAGACCTGGTAGGTAGGTCCTCTAGGCCATTGCTGTGCTCCATGCCACAGCCTCATCTGAAGAAAGTTTTCTGGAGACATATTAACTGTATCCATGCCAAAGTATTTAAATAAATGGTTCAGCTGGATAGGAGTATTTGCTAAGAACAATTCTATTTTGGAGAACTGCCCCAAATCATGACTTTATATGAGAAGTTAATGACAAGACCAAATTAGCATGCATCTTCTGAAACCTCAGTCCTCGTGAATGTCCTTTCTTTGGTTCTCTCTTCCATCCATCCATCCAACCTTCATCAAACAGCCACTCAGTGGTAGGCACTGGGCCAGCTGCTGGGGCCCAGAGAGGGACTGGTCATAGTTCCCACCTCCAAAAAGCATAAAGGCTGGTGGGAGTGAAGGTGAATTACTATAATGGAGCGATTTACTGCAAAAGAGGGAAGCAAGGATGTTGGCAAGGTGGGGGTGGGGGCTGGAGCAGAGAGCACTGACTTCTGCCTAGGGTGGAGGTGGGGGAAGACCACTATCGTCAACAGATCAGTTGAAACTGATCCCTTAGGATGAGGAGGGCCAAAAGGCAGGTGGGAGATGAGGGCTGGGAGGGCTTTCCGAATAGCTGAGCCTATGGCTCAAGCAGAGCCCCAGAGGAATGAAAGAGCAGATGAGGAGCTATGCGAATCCCTGGGTGTGGCAGGAGGTGAGGAGAGTGGTTGCAAACCAAACCAGAATGTTTGGAATGAAGAAATCTCCTCCCAAGGCCCTGCTGAGAGAGATTAACATTCTTAGGGCTCCAGGATAACTGAGAAGCCTACTCCATTTTCTGGTTCAGCTGAGATTTGGAGATCAGCTTGGTAACTGCCTGTGAAATAACCAACAGACACCATTGTTCGGACTTGCCTGAGGTTCAGAGTCAGATGGGTATCCTTCTCCCAACTCTGGGAGGATCATCTCTGAAGCCCATTTCACTATATCCAATTGTCTCTCCCTTCCCATATCTGGCTCTCAAAATCTAAGACCAAGACACCAGCCCAGGAGGCTCTCCTTCCCCTGAATCCTTGAAAAAAAAATGAGACAGGGAGAAAGGAACCAGGGACAGGGATGGAGTTGGAGCAGGAAGCATAAAATGAGGAATGGTAATGGATCACAGGTTCAAAAAACCTGGAGACTGGCAGGCCCTGGGAGACCACCTAGCCGGTCAACTTGCTGTCACATGGGGAGACTGAAGCCAAAGAAAGGAGAAGGGAGAGGACTGAAGGGACCTGGTGGACGCCATGAGTGAGAAAACACGCCATAATAAGAGTGCTCCCAACTCCTAATCCAAGATACCTCACTTCTCACTGCTCCATAGTGCATAGTTAATGAATTTTGTACTGAAATGCTTTTTTGAATTTCTTCAAAAATGGAAATAACCCATGTTCATAGCAGCATTATTCACAATACCCAAGAGGTGGAAACAACCCAAGTGTTTGTTTCTAATGACAGTGAACAGATAAAGTGTGGTGTGTGTGCACATGCACATACAGAGGAGTATGATTCAGCCTGAAAAAGGAGGGAAATTTTGTCACATGATACAATGTGGATGAACCTTAGGGACATTATGGTAAGCGAAATAAGCCAGTCACAAAAATGCACATACACCATATAGAAATATTAAAAACAAAAGGGACCATTTCGAAGCTGCTTCTGTCCTGTAAAAAATAATACAATATAAATGAAGCCACTTCACATGGAGAGCACTCTAAAGTCTGTACCCTGTACAGGGGAGTATACTCCAAAGTCTCTGGCTGGGGATCTAGGGTAGCTGCACTTTGCCCCACTGAGTTTCCTAAACAAATCACATATCTTTACTAAGTAATCCTGAGTGAGCTAAGTAAGAAGGCCCAAAGGGCACCAGGCAGGGCCTCGGAGGGGCTGGTTCCTCATTTCAGCAGCCGACAGATGGTGAACATCACCACAAACAACAGCTTTCCATCTGCTGGAGCAGACAGCCTTCAGGCTGGGTGCAATTCTGTCAACTCTGAGAGACTGAGTCACCCAGCCAAGTAGCCATCTGCTGCCATCTCCTGCCATCTCCTGGAGTCCAAATCTCTTGTGGGGCCAGCACTGGTACAGATACTGGCTTCATGGGTATCTAAGTCGCCCTGTGGTTTAATATGACACCAGGGAGGCACAGAGAGTATGTTCTGTTTTTTCCAAAGGGCAGTTACAGTGTTTGTATATGACACTAGGCCGTACCCTGAGGTCATGGAGGATGCAGCAGGGCTGTGGTGTGAGTCCTGAATCTGGAGAAAAGGACCAGGGCCCTCTATAGCATTCAGTGGAGCCTGAGATACAAATTCTTAAAGGATCACTAAAGCTGCTGGCGATGGCCACCTGGCTGGCTGAGCCAAAACAAGACTCCCAGTTCCCATGTCCTCCTGCAGCCTCAAGCAGAAAGATGGTGCCTTCCCACTGAAGAGACATAGGAGGGTATTCTGCAGACGTGGTCCAGGGAAGGCCAGGAGGCTGTTTCTCCCGCTGAGGATCTGGACTCAGATGGTCAGATGGAGAGCTGCTCTCCGAAGTACACTGCTGGGCATCGCAAGGTTGTGCTAGCCTCCTCTGTCCTACTCCTGAGCCAAGATACCAAAACCAAAGAGGAGAAGGAGAAAAGATACCAAAACGAAAGAGGAGAAGGAGAAAGGTATCCTTTTGGTTTTGGTATCTGGGCTGGAGGTGAAACCACAGAGTTGGTAGGGCTGAAGCTCCCCCTTCCTAATGTGGAATGAAGACCTGACCTCCGCCCATCACTGCTAAGCCCCACAAGCACATTTCCTTGAGACCCTCATGGGCTCACATCTGTTTCCCAAAACTCCTCAAGAGGGTTCTTCTCAGAGCCCTTCAGCGGGGTACATCATTCCTTCTAAGGCAGAAAGGAATCAAGGAGGGCAGAGAATGCTGATAACAGCCCAAATAATCAAAGCCTGTATCTGCTGGGCAGCTGCTGGGGCCGGGCACTAGGCTTTATGATTGGACACAGGCTTTTCCAGGAAACATGGTTATAACTCCATCTACAGAGGAGGAAACTGAGGTTTAGAGAGGCTGAGAAACTTGGCTCAGGGCCAGAGTTGGGGCCTGCACAATCTTATTTAAAGGCCTGTGCTTTTAATTACCCGTTAGACTGAAGTGCATTTGTGAGATGGGTTGGAGAGCATGCAAATCCACTCTGGATCATGAGTCAAAAGCTAAACCGCAGGACTTGTGCTCCTGAATATCTGTTCTGGGACAGGGTTAAGATTTTCTGGAAAGTGAATTAGTAAGAGAGTCCAGATCCTTTAATTCTTGAACAGCTTCTTTCTGACATTTTTCACTCTGACTGTAGGGTAGCGTCAACAGCCTGGGGGCCCTCACTATTCTCTAAGACCTTGCCTTCAAGTATTGAAGAATGGTGCATCCTCTAGGGCTGCACAGCTATCAGGGGCAAATCTAAATGAAATATCTGTCTCCTGGGGCCTCTCTACTTCATGTGACAACGCCTTAGGACAGGCCAAGTCAATGTAAATATCACCTCTTCTTTCACTCTATCATTCCTTTTTTTTCTAACTTAAATCACTTTTATTGTGCTGAAGAGAGCCTGTTGCCCAGTGCTGCAGCCCTCCTCACCTTTCTTCCTAGAAAGGGGATGATATAGTGAAAGGAGAGGCGGTATTTACAGTCCAGATTTCTTTTCCTGTCCAGATTCAGGTTTGGAACTTCAGCTGTACTGGTTCAGGCATCAGGCAGATGCTACAGCTTACCTAATGGCACTCAGTTCTAAGGAGAGTCTGGCAGCCTCATGATAGGAACATGAAGATTTGGGGAGGAAAACAGATAGCTGGGCTGCTAAGTGGTGTCAGAGGGGACTTCTCATGCTGCCATAATATATTTGGGTACTGACTTGCTTAATGCCTATCTCCACCATGAAATGTAAAGGCCTGTGTCTTTCCCCATTGTTTGTTCCCCAGCACCTAGAATACTACATGCGCACAGTAGGCCCTCAATAAAGACACGATGAATAAACAAATTAATTCAGAACATATGAATGAATGAGCTTCCTCCTTTGAGAACTCTAATTACCAGCTGCTTCATTAAATGTAACTCCTGACCTGCCAGAAATGAAGTCTTTGTTATTTCCCTATTTTTCTGCTTGGGAGCAAGAAAGGCAGAAGAGGGGCAAAACTAGGTAGGAAGAGCATTTTTCTGGACTGTCTTCTCTAAAAACAGAACAGAAAAGGAAAAAAAGAAATGTATAAGGGAGAGAATATTCAGAAGAAAATACAGAACACTCCGTACCTCCCAGGAGCAAGAGTCAGGAAACAAAGCTTAAAAAGATTCAGGGCAGCCAAGCTCAAACACAAAAGCTCAGGCCTTCCTCTCAGAGGAAGAGGAATCTGGGCCCTCAGTTGGGCCACCCTGGAGCACCACCAAGCACCACCCTTGGGATTTTCAGTAATGACTATGCTAATCTAATCACTTTTATTGTGCTAAAGAGAGCCTGCTGTCCAGTGCCACAGCCCCCCTCACTTCCCATGTGACTCTCATGAGGTTGCACCTGGATGGAGATGCGATTTTCAGTCTGGGGTGCAGAATTTGTAATGATTTTCATATATGTGTATCTGTGTGATCTGTTTTCTACAATGACCATGTAGCTCTTTTTTAAAATTATTTTTTAAAGTTATTATTATTATTTTTTATGCCTACAGTACCTGGTCTTCCTAGGTGGTCTCCCATCCAAGTACTAACCAGGCCCGAACCTGCTTAGCTTCCAAGATCAGATGGGATCAGGCTTGTTCAGGGTGGCACGGGCTGTAGACTTTTTTTTTTAAACTGCTGTAATTAACTTCTCTCTTATGTGTAAATTTTCCTTCCTGTCACTGTCCCGTTGGCCCCAGAACCATAGAGCATTGCTTGCTCTCTCTGTTCTACGACAATCCTACAGAGATCAAAGATCCCCCAGTTACTTCGGTGGCCCTTCCCAGGACCCTACACCCAGATCACCCTCCTACTCCAGGTACTGTCCCTCTTCGGGGTCGGGTAAGACATGCCTCGTTCTCCAGGAGGGGTCTGAGAGACAATTGTACAGAGACCCTGCTCATGGCACCTTTCTGTCACCTAGTTTGAGTGACAGCAATGTCTCTAAGTAATCAACAACACAGCATTTCCAACCATCCCAGTTTGGCTTTGAAGGACCAGAGATGGCCTATGCCTAGAGGGGTCTACTGGAGCCTGGGACCTCTCTGGGGCCAGAGCTCACCTTCTGAGACTTTAACTCCTTGGTAAGCATCAGAACCTGCTGCTCCAAGGCCAAGGCTTTCTCCTGGGCAGTTCGGTTCCGTGTGAGTCCTTCGGCAAAGAGTGGGAAGGTGTTGTTCTGGCGCTTGGCTTTCTGAATGAGATTGGCGGTCAGAGAGGACTTGAGTGTAGGCTTCAGAGAATCTGCTGGACCTTTCCCTGCTCAAAAGGAGAAACACAAAGGTTATGATCAGGGGCCTTGGCAGTTCTAGAACTTGAGCTTGCTGCAGAAGCACTTGGAGAGCTAGATAAAATGCAGATTGTGGGAACTGACCGCCTGAATGTAGATTAAATAGGCCTGGGGCAGGGCTTGAGAATTTGCATTTCTAAAATGTTCCTTTGTGATGCAGCTGGTCCAGGGATCATACTTGGAGAACTACTGGGATAAATAAACATTATTTATACTATGCTGGCTTGGTCATTCAGCCCATCCTCTAAATTGTGCCTGTCCCCTAGTTTTGGATCCAAACCTGCATGGGCTATCTCATACTACCCTGCTGGTGTATGACAGGTGGCCATTCCCTCAGGCACAAGCCCTAGCAGGATGTCTTATATCTTATTTCAGAATCCCACCTCTATCTTCTAAGCAGATCTGTCATTGATAGAAGCAGGGAATATCTGTATTCTACATTCTTGCCACAAAGAGTAAATCGAACTCTTACTTGATTCTTATTACAAGCTAAGGTAGGAGAATGCCCTGTCCCCTGCCTTTGCTTTAGGGCTCTGCCATCGCTTGCATCCAGGGACATTTAATAGCCTGATTACATATGGTCAAGGGACCTTGGGAATCTTGTTTACATGGCACATACACATTGTGTCTATTGTGAGGCCCTGGCAGGAGAAATTCTCCTCAGTGCCAGAAAAAGCTTTGCTTCTTCCAAGAAAACATGTGTTTAGTCTTATGGACGCTGGAAATAATCTAAGCATTTGCTGCTGGCTCTTAGCTACTCAGTAGATCTTATCTAGGTTTCTTAACTCAAATTACTCACTTACTTTCCCCCAGATATGTATTTTAATAAGCTATCCCTGATCCTTTTGAGACTAAGGTATTAAAAAATAAAGATGTGTTAAGGGATCCCAGGACAGGCAGGACCTGGAAGACAAGCCTAATGATTTAGCATCTTTCAGGGACCAGGCTGAAGGCCAACCAAACAGTCTTGAACAGATAAAGAACTACTCTAGTAGGTAACAGGAACCAGAAACTCCTTGGCCTTGTTGGGTAAAAGACCAGAATGAACTTGTTACAGACTTAAAAGAAATCTGACTGTACCAAGAACAAAGCAGCCCGCAGAGTTCTGAGGCAGGAAAGAGAAAGAGGCAGTGCATTCCTCCCTACAGCCCCGCTGTTCTCTGCTAACTATTCACCAACCCTGAGGGCAGGCAGAGTAGAGATTACTGTGCCCATTTTACGGTAGGAGAAAATGAGGCCTGAGACGGTGGTTTTCAATCAGTGCCCTAGGATTTCATGGAAGTGCCTCAATGGCTGACTGGGAGGGCCAGAAGGTGGGGGTGCTGCAGGGAGCCCAAACTCTCACCCCTGACTCGACTCAGTTTTTATCTGCTTTGTATATTGCTTATAGTGTCAAAGTTTCATGGTAATAAAGACGTAGTTTTAAAAATCACTGATTTGGACAGTGACGCTTCAGGCAGCAGTATGCGGCCAGAGTGCTTTGCAAGAATCCTAGTTCTGTTACTCACTGTGCAGTTGTAAGCAAGTCACTCCACTTTTCTGGCCTTGGTGCCCTTATTTATAAAATGAGAATAACAGCAGTATATACTGCTTGCTCAGGCTGTTGTAGGATTAAAGAGGTTAATGCAGGTAAAGTGCTCAGTGCTCATGGATAAAACATGAAAAGGTTCTGCTTAGTGAAAGATTCAGTCATAGAGGGCCATATGTTGCATGATTCCATTTATATAAACTATCCAGAATAGATAAATCTGTAGAAAGAGAAAGCAAGTTAGTAGTTGCCGAGAGCTGGAGGGAGGTAGAGATTGGGACTGATGGCTGAGGTTTTCCGGGGTTTCTTTTTGGATAATAAAAATGTTCTAGAATTGATTATGGTGATGGTTACACAACTCTGTGAATATACTAAAAGGCACTGAATTCTAGACTTCAAATGGGGTGAATTGTATGGTACGTGAATAATATTCTAATACAATGGTTATAACACCCCCCCCAAAAAGTGCTTAGAGTAGCCGTGGCACAAAGTGACTACTATATGTAGTGCTGGTTTTTTTATTATTGGTTCAGCACAGTACTGTTCACTATGACCTGCAGGGTCCCCACCAGGCAGTGCTCCAAAGGGGCGCTTCTCCCTGTCACTTCTACACAGCCCAGGGGTTCTCTCTGCCATGAGAAGATACCATCGCGCTGCCTTAGCCGGTTTTCTCTCAACTGCTTCTAAGTTAAAATATATTCTAAGGGCACCAGTGCCAATGGCGTGGGTCACTCATATTTTGTGAAAGGAATAAAAAAGTGCTATTTCATAGCTGGGATGGATTCCTAAAGGTCATTTGCTTTGCTTCTTCAGGTAGATCTGATTTTAATCACTCCAGGTGGCATTTTTATATCCTTTCCTTATAAATTAAAAAAAAAAGGAAGGAAGTGAGTGAGATTTTCCTTTATTACTTCAAAAATCATTGCTAAGAGTTTCCGTTTGGGAAACTGAAAAGAGTCCTGGAGATGAATGGTGGTGATGGTTGCAGAAAAATGTGAATGTACTTAATGCCACTGAACTGTATAGCGAAAATTGGTTAAAAGTGTACATTTTATGTTATGTATATTTTACTACAATACAAATAATAAAAAAGAATCACTGCTACTAGACCCCTAGAAACCCAGGAGGAGTGACCTGGAGAGTTGCATCGTTGACACACAAAAGCACAAATACTGGTGTTCAGGGAGGAGGAGGGCACTCACTCAGTCTCCAAAAGCCGCTCAGACCTGGGCAGAGGCTCACCTGGGGCGCTGGGGTCAGGGGGTGAGGGCTGTTCCTCCCTCTGAGGCTCCCCGATCAGTGGAGAATCTTCCCCTGGAGGTCTGTGGCCTGTTCCTTGGGACTGCTTGTTGCCTCGGATGTTGTACATCGTGTTTCTGAGGGAAAACAGAGATGCGTGAGGCCGACAGCCCTGCCATTCTGGCCCTCTGTCCTCCCCGCCGCCACTGCTAGAGCTCAGGCCGCGCGTCCCCACCCGCAGTCATGCCCTGCTGTCTGCCAGACTACAGGCACTTGTCATGAAACATGGCCCCCAGCCACTTCTGATCCTCCTCACCCTTCTCCTTTTCATTTTTTCATCATACTTATCACCTTCCACACACAATATTGCTTATGAACAATATAAGCTTAACTCCCCTGCCCCCAACCCTGCTGCTGGAGTATAAGTTCCATGAGGGCAGGGAAGTTTGTTTTATTCATTGAAGTACTCTGAATGCCTAGAACACAGCTTTCTTTCCCTGCTCTAATCTGTTCCCTCTAAAGCCTTCACTGCACTTCATGAATAGGCCAACCTGTGACCAAGTACTTGTCCAGGCTGAATAATGATGTCATTTCTTCATGAAGTGGGCACTAACCTGCCTGCACGTCTGTTGGCACCTGGCACTAGGCTGCATGTGCTCAGACTACAAGCTCAATACATGTTTAGTGTTCAGGAAGGAACTAGGTAGCACCAAAGGTTGGCCTAGGACCAGGAACCACAGAGAAATTCATCCTGAGCCAGATGAAAAGAAGTTCAGTTGAGGTTATTTTCCCTTTGCAAAGATATAAAAGTAGACATATTCCAAAATTAATAACAAGGAAAAGAGAAAATGCTTAAAGGAGTTTAGTGAGTCAGTGTTTTTCAAACTATAGGTTGCGAACCACTAGTAGACTGTAAAATCAGTTCAGTATTGTGGCCATCATTTAAAAGACAGAATGGAAGACATGAGAATGAACCTGACTTAGAGAGTGAAATATGTATATGTATATGTGTACTGAGCTATTACTGTGGTCATGGTCAACAGATGGAAAACGCTATACTAGGAGGTCATTTATTAAAGGGCAGTGATAGTGTGGTCAAAAAAGCAGAGAAAGTGAAAGTGTAGATCTGTGAAGGAATCCTAGCTCTACTATGTCATCCTGATGTGTGATGCATACTTTTAGCAATTGGGGGAGAAATTACTCTAAGACACTCTTATTCCAAAACAACTAGATGCTAGATAAATACAAAACATATTTCACAAATATTTAGCTAATCCCCAGAAAAAGAAAGGAAGTCTCTAGGGACTAAACATGAGAAAGGAAGTGAAACTCAGGAAAGTAAAGAAGAAGAGGAACATGTAGATTAGATTATTGTTTGACAAATACAGGCATACCTCAGAGACACTGTGGGTTCGGTTCCAGACGACCAAAATAAAGCAAGTCATATGAATTTTTTGGTTTCCTAGTGCATATAAAAGTTATGTTTACACTATACTGTAGTCTATTAAGTATGCAATAGCACTGTATCTAAAAAAGCAATGTACATATCTTAATTAAAAAATACCTTATTACTAAAAATGGTGCCAATACACTTGCTCGGTGCAGGGTTGCCACAAAACTTTAATTTGTAAAAAAATGCAGTATCTGCAAAGTGCAACAAAATGAGGTATGCCAGTGTTCATTCTTTCCTTTCCACCTCTGCAGGAACAGAGTACTTCCCCTTCCTTCTCCTGATGTTGGGCATAGCCATGTGACTTGCTTCAGCCAAAAGGACATTAGCAGAAGCCACGTAAACATAGGTTTCAAATGTGTTGGCATGTAGGGCTTGCCCTCTTTAAGAACATGCCTTAGGTAGCTGCTAGTCCACGGGAGATGAGAAATATGTGGAGTAGACCTAGATCTTACCAATGGCTTGGAGTCAAAATCTGGTGACCCTAGCCCTTATCAGCTGAGCCCAATGTGTCACAATAAATGCTTACCACTTGATAGTGAATTCTGAAGTGTTTGTCTGCAGCATTAATGTTGTGAGAATTGACTAAGATATGAGTTTGTCCAGGAATCAACTGTTGGTTTTTTTCACATTCAGATATGATTGACATATAACATTATATTCATTTCAGGTATATAACGTATGTATATATTGTGAAATGATCACTATGATAAACCTAGTTAATATCCATCGCCACACAGTTACTTTTTTTGTTGTTATCAGGCGTTAACTGTTGATACCAGAAACTTAGAGCCTTAGTTGCAAGGGAGGGAAAGCAAGGTTTTGGACTCATACAGAGTATGAAGTTGAAATTGAAATTTTATATAAAGCTGGGACTCCTGAAGATCCATACTCTCTGTGAAGAGGTAAGTTAGAAAAAAACATGCCTGCTGGCAAAATTAACACAAGGAAGTTCTAGGTGAAGGCTCTGGGTATTCAAAAAAGTTTTGATATCTATGGTTTTGGTATCAGGGTAATATTGGCCTTATAGAATGACTTTGGGAAGTGTTCCCTCCTCTTCTTTTTTGGGGGAAGTTTGTGAAAAATTGGTATTAATCCTTCTTTAAATGTTTGGTAGAAGTCACCAGTGAAGTTATCTGGTCCTAGGTTTTTTGTTTGTTTGTTTGTTTTTGTGGGTAGTTTTTTGATTACGAATTCAAAGTCTTTACATGTTATAGGTCTATTCTAATTCTCTATTTCTTCCTGAGTCAGTTTCAGTAATCTGTGTCTTTCTAGAAATTTGTCCATTTCATCTAAGTTATCTAATTTGTTAGCAAATAATTATTCATAGTATTCCCTTATAGTTCTTATTATTTCTGTATGGTTGGTAGTATTGTTCCCTCTTTTGTTCTTGACTTTAGTAATTGAGTCTTATGTTTTTTCTTGGTCTGTCTAGCTAAATGTTTGGCAATTTTGTTGATTTTTTTTTTTCAAAGAACCATCATTTGATCTAAAACTTATCTTTAAAAGAAAATCCGGTTTTTTGTATAGTTGTATTCTGTTAAAATACAGCTGACTGATGGAGGAAAAGATTAACCAGTTAAATTAATAAAGGAGAAGAAATTAGAACTCAGCACTTCCAAGATCTGACATCAACATTTAGTCTATTTAGTCAACTTTTGCTCTGTTATTATTAAGGTCCTTCTATAAGAAGCCCCCGATTCCTTGGATTAGTCACTTTCCCTTCCTAGTTCTTTCTTTCCCCATCCAAAAATAAAATGGTGGTGGTCATATTAAAAAGAATGATGAGGAGCACTAGTTATTGAGTATCTCTATAGCCAGAGGAACTGTGACCATCATTACTGTCCACACTTCCTCTTGCCCAGGAACTTCAGCCTCCCCAACACTTCCAGGAAGTGTAATGATGGTCACAGGGTGTAGAAGGGCATAGAAACCTCAACACCAGGGCCATAAAGGGAGCTCACTAATTACAGACACAGCCCAGGTGGCCACTCCCCAGCCAGATGACATCTCCATTTCATAAATTTATTGACTTGGCTTGGAGCAGTTCATAGATCATTTTTTGCGTAGTTACAGCTCTAGGTCTAAAAGGCCTTGTCAGCATGAAGGTAGTGGTCATAAAGACTTGTTCTAGAAGGAAAACCTTGGGCAAGCCATTTATCCTCTCTAAGCCTGGGTTTTCTCCTCTGCAATGGGGATGATGAACCTACATACGACAATGACTGGGCCCTTTCATGGCCTAGGCTCTAAGCTAAACGCTAGTAATTCAACGCAGTTAATCCTCAAACACATGCATTCAGTGTATTTAATCTTCACAATAGCCCAATGAGTAAGTACTATTAGCACCTCCATTGTACACAGAGGAGAACTGAGGTTTAGAAAGGATAAGTTAACAAAGCCACAGAGCTAGTAAGCAGTGGGACTGAGCATCAGATTTGGACCTTTAATTCCATAGCCTGAGAACTTAACTGTTATGATATAACTTCACAGGGTTGTCCAGACAACTCGATGAGAATCTAAAGCACCCAGTACAGTGCCCTGGGGGCTCTCTTCCCCAGAGTATGACCCGGGCTCATGACAGACCCAACTGTAAGCACCAAGACCAGCAGGACAAGGGAGTGCAGGAAGCAAGGGTAACCCTGATCTTACCGGGGCCCTCGGCAGCCCAGGATACTTGCAGTGTTGCCTTGCATTTTCTGTGGGTTATTGCAAGTGTCAGGGGGGATGTAACTGACTGATCCTCTGCAACTTCCTTCCTTTCTTAGTCTCTGCATATTCTCTGTTCCACTTTTGCTGTCCGTGACCTTCATCAGGCATGAATCTGGCTTAATCTTGGTGAGACTACCCTGGACACGGATGGCTGGACTTCTCAGGCCCCCTCTCCCTCCTAGGAGGTTCCCAATGCTGGCAGTTCCCTCCGGCTCCTCCTGGGGGAAGATCTCTGGAATGGGACCCTCCTTGTCCACTCAACACTGAGGGGCCTGACCATGCCCCACACCTCCCAAGTCTCTCAGCTCAGATCTCTCTCCTGAGTTTCAGGCCTCTTCATCAGATACCTGTTGGGTAGTTTGACTTCTAGCCATTAAGCCCCAAAAGACATACCGTCTTTTCCCTAAAACCTGCTTATGTCCTGGGAAGAGCATCACTACCCTCTGAGTTACCTAAGTAAATTCAAACACTGAAGCCAACAGGGGAAATGCCATGCTTCAGTCACACTGAGCCAAGAGTCTCTGATCCAAGTCCAGTGAACAATCTATTCTGCTTTTTAAGAGATTCCATTTTGTCTGAAGTCTACACAGAAAATAAGCATCCAAATAGCATCAGTCTTGGGTTTAGTTTGAATTCAAAGAAGCTTTCTTCAGTAAGAGCAATAAGAGTAGCTCCAGATAATATTTATCAAGTGCTTACCCATTACTAAGCACGTTCTAAAGTAGTTTATATGCATTAATCCGTTTAACCCCTGCATTAATCTTGTAAAGCAAGCACTGCTATATTTTACATTTACTAACAATTTAAGTGAAACATGGAGAAATAAAGCAACTTGTCCAGGGCAGTACAGCCCATGACTGGTGGAGCTGGGATATAAATCCAGGCAGTTTGGCTCCAAAGCCCCAGGCCACATTGTTGTCTTCTTATAAATTATTTAAAACAAAGCCTGCCAATGGAAAATTGTATATATGATACATTATTAAATGAAAAAGTAGCGGAGATATGATCAATAGACAACAAATTACATGTGTTAAAAGTGAATAATTTGATGTAATTGACATATGTAGCCATTTGTGAAGCCATCATCACCTTACATTCAGTATGATCTCAATTGTGCATGTACGTGTATAGAAAATCTGGTGGAAAGAGATATACCAAATACTAAGAATGCTTGCCTAGGTGATAGGATTATGGGTAATTTAACTGTACACCTTTCTAGATATTTCTAATTTTCTACAAAGAACACACACTACTTTTAAAATCAGAACCACAAATGTAATATTTTAAAGTAATGACATGATGAATTGAAAAGAAAGTCCCTAGCCCCTCCCCAGGCCCATCAGATCACTGTAAGCTCTCAAGAAGGGGCTAATTGCAGCTTGGCCAGCCTCTCAACCCTACTGGCACTTACTGTATTTCAGTTCCCAGGTGCTTGAGGGAAATATTCTGAAGGGCCAAGGGCATGGCAGGGGCTGGCTGCAAGGCAGCTGCCACACCTACGAGCCCAGTGGGTGTTTTCACTGGGCACAGGAACTCCTCCAGCTCTGCCTCCTCTTGCTCTGGGGAACAAAGACAACAACAAAAGGGAAATCACCCACCCAGGTCACTGCACTTGGAAAGACTAGACAGGTGGGTGTATGGGCTCAGCTCTAACTGGGAGTAGGCGGGGGTCAGTGAGCTCTGTGAGCAAACTTCCTTGTGGGTTAACAGCAGCCAAAGAGGCAGGCAGTTTACTGAATGTTCTGCAGTAAAACAATGCATTTTGCTGGAACAGCCTCCATGGAAACCTCTTAAAAATATGCAGAACTGCAGAAGTTGTCTGAAATGTAGATAAACCTTTATGAACCAAGAGGTTCATCCTGGGCACTGTTTAGCCTCGAACTATAAATAATGTAAAGGTCTGTGAAAAGGTTAAATAAATCTTGATGCCTTTAGACAATGGAATTTTACTCAACCAAATTAAAATGATGCTAATGAAGAATGATTAAGAACATGGAGAGTGGGCATGGGATAATATTAAGTGGAAAAAGCCAGAAAAAAAATTGGGAATCTCAATTGTATAGAAAAAGTCTCAAAGAAATACATTCTGCAGTCTCAACAGTGGTCAGAAGTACGTGATGGGATTAGAAGTAAGCAGGCTATTCTCATTACAGTTTACTGTTTTTCCCCAAATTTTCTACAGTAAACATGGGTTACTTTTATAAGCAGAAAAATAATACATAGTCATCAAAAGTAGATGTTAATAAAAAGATTTTATAATACAGGGAAATTTTAGGGTTACAATACTGAGTTGCAAAAAGCAAAGTAGGGCATATTGTATTATTATATGATCCTAAATGCATTTAAATAAAAAGCTGGCTGTTTCCAGGCGATAGAATTATGGCTACTTCTCTTTCTACTTACTGTTCTGCTTAAACAATGATTCTTATACAATGAGTGTTTCAAAAGGAAATATCACTCGAGGTATATGAGAGAGGAGGTGAAATATTTAGAAGTTAGTTTTGAATGTTACAAAAAGTGGAAGAGAACTAAGGCCACTTAGGGGATGGTATGACCTTGATCAGGGAGCCCCTGAGACCTACAGGGCAGCAGATACCTTTCATTGGGAGCCCTCTTACTGAGAGGGTGAAAAACGTAGGGGCATAGGAAATTTACTTTTGCAAAAAGGGTGTGGGTGCAAAAACATTAAATGCAATGGTTGGGGCCAGGAGTTGTTCAATCTACTGGAAAATAAATTTTGCAAGTAATACATTTGTTGCTTCCTATTAGGCTCTTCCAGATCTAGCAGGCTGGCCAGTACTTGGCCATTCCGAGTCATTCTTTTGAGTTCCTCTCTTCAGTTCACTTTCTCACCAGTTTGGGTGCCCACCTGAGGTTTCCAGGTGGGGCTAGAGAAAGTGAGATAATCAAAGGCATAGCTTCAAGAGCAGAGGAGAAGTGCACACTTCAGGAAAACCAAGTGGATGGAAGCTGGAAGGCAGGCCAGACAAAGAGTAGTGAGTTCTGAGAGGTGGAGACAGATTCCTTCCAACTCGAGTCAGGGAAGACTTTCTGGAGGAAGGGCAGTGGAGCTGGGCCTGGAAGGCTGGAGATGATTTGAACCTACAGAAGGATGAAAGAAGATCCTACTCTGTGTGTAAGTACAGGCAGCAGCAAAGGATTCCAAAGCCAGAACCGAGGATGCCAGGAGGGACCCAGAGGAGAAGGGGCTGGAAAAGACAAATTAGAGGGGGGTGGCTAAAAGGGGATCTCATTTGGCTGGAACTATAGAGTCCCCTAGGGCAGCGGTCCCCAACCTTTCTGGCACCAGGGACCACTGCTCCTATGAGAATCTAATGACTGATGATCTGAGGTGGAGCTGAGGTGGTGATGGTAGCACTGGGGAGTGGCTGCAAATACAGATGAAGCTTTGCTTGCCTGCCACTCACCTCCTGCGGTGTGGCCCAGTTCCTAATAGGCCACGGACCAGTACTGGTCTTGGAGATTCCTGCTCTAGGGGTTTCGGCAGGAGCCCAAGGAACCTGGCTGACTAGAAAGGGCTACAGCTGTGTAGTTGGAAGACCTGGGGCTAAGGCATGCTTCCCTGGGAGGGCGCTGTGACCTGGCTGGGGATCACTTATTCTCTTCCAGCCTCAGGTTCCACATTTTTAAAACTGGAAGGACACTCTCTACCCTGTCTCCTTTAGAATTAAAGTATATAAAAATCCAGACTTTGAGCTGATTCAAAATAATTAAAGTTTTCTTATATATTGATGCTTTAACCACCTTTATTCTACCTCATTCAGAACAAACAAAAAAATTACAATCTGTCTAAGATTTTAATGTCTTGGCAAGTACTTCCCTAACAGCCAATATCTGTTTTCCTTTAACTTCTACCTGTGGCTCTAGATCTACTCTGAGGACACAAAGAACTAAGTCTTGGGGGTATATGGCACCATTGGTTGGTTTCATCAGTGAGAAAACAGCAGTTCAGAGACAGTGAATTTTGTGGCTAAGGTCACACAGCTGCTAGCAGAGCCAGGGACTCAACAGTTTCTCGGTTTTCCTTATTTCTGAGAAGGAGACAGTTCCAAGAAGGGAGGGGCTGCCCCAAAAGGTACAAGCTCCCAATGCTAAGGGGTCCAAAGGATGGGTGGCACATGATGGTGATCTACTGTGAAGGCTGTGCTTCCTGTAGGAAACAGAATTGACCCTGGGCTCTGGTCTGGGTCCTTTGGGCCCTTCTCCAGCCTGCGGAAATGCCCTCAGTGAGGCGATCACACAAATAATTTTTAACAGCATTTACTTGTAATTCTCCTTTTGCCTGAGCCCTAGAGGCTGTCCCACCACTGGTAGAAAGAAGTCATCATCTAACAAAAAGGGCCTGGGCCAGCAGGTTACTGCTCCCCTGGAGAGCCCTGGACAGCCCTGGACACATGGCCAGTTACTTCGTCAGCTTTAGGAGTGGAGTGTGAGTCTGCAGACGAGGGTTCAAATTTCAGCACTGACATTTTCTTGCTGCATGACCTTACACAGGTACCTTGGCCTCTTGGAGCCTCGGTTTCCTCTTCTGTAAAATGGGAATAATAGTAACTACCTCATAAGACTGTTGTGAGGATTAGATAAATGATGCATGTAAAGTGTTAAAATAGTGTCAGTAAATGGTATGCTTATTTTTATGATATACATTCATAAAAGTCCTTTGAAAATGTGTCCTACTTTGGTAACATGTTATTATCAATCTATTGGCTTCCCTTTGATCTTTCTTGGCTCTGTGGAGACCAATTTTAAGTATTAAAAAATGGCATAAACGCTTAAAAGCTGAAGAGAAAATGCTTGCAGATGCTCGAGGGCAATCATGAGACATTTTTTATAAGATGTCTCAAAGTCAGATGTGAGTCGACAGGTTTTCACTGTCCTGGCAGGAGGCCCCTGCTTCCTCTCAGGAAGGGTGGAGACTGGCGAGGTGGGGCATCTTGCTCCATACAGCCAATCTAGGGCCTGCCAGCTTGCTTGAGACTCCAGAAATGTCTTTCTGAGTGGGCTGGGGAAGGTTTCGCAGGGGTCTTGGGTCCGGGAGGGTGAGGGCTTGCTGTAAGATATGTATGGCTTCAGAAGAGTAGCCCACATCCCTGTTTCCTGCATCTCCTCTAGCATCCTTCCGGGAAGACTGGCACCCTGGTCATCATGGCAACCATTCCCATGCCTCCATGCCCACAGCAGGGGCTGGCCCAGAAGAGGCCCCAGAGTGTGCTGAACCAAAACCACAGAATTCAAGAACTTGGAAAGGTAGAAGAACCTGTGGGATTCTAAAGCTACTCTTTTGATAACCTGGTTCTTCCAACCTTAAGTCAGGGAGGGTTTCTCATTTCTAATCGGAGGCTGCTCTGGCAATTCCATCAACTCAGGCTGCAGTCTTCCACATAGTCAGGGTTCTTTGGCTCTCTGGCAGGTGGGATGGTCAAGTAGAAATGCAGTAGACAAACAAACCCTTCCCCAAAGAAAGCCCTTATAAGAATAAAACATCTAGAAGTTTCTCCAAAGAAGTTACTGATGATTATTATTAACAATAAAAAGGAACAGTTATTATAATAGTAATAGTGTACATGTACATATCTAATAACAATACTATTAGGACAGCTATCATATACTGAGCACTTACTATGTGGCTGACATTATGCTAAGGGCTTTACATTCCTTTCCTCATTTAATTATGAAATTCAATGTATTTGTTCACACAGTCACTCAACAAATATCCAATATGCCAGGCAGGGCACCAGGTACCAGGGTCGCAGGTGACAAAGACATGGCCCCTTGCGGGCTAGTGGGCAGAGACTGACAAGGACATTGTAATTAGAACACAATGTGACAGGTCTCAAGAATCCCAAGAAGTCTTGAGGGCTAATATAGAATCTAGTTGGCAAAATTCCAGAAGGCTTCCAAGAGGAAGCTGGTAAGAGAAGTTGACACTAAAGCTTGGCCACTGAGAATAAGCAGGAATTTACCAGGCAGAGAAGAAAGCAGAGACATCTTTGGTACTGCTGAAGTGTAAAGTCCAAGGTGGGTACTGGGGAAGCAGGCAGAGGTGAGAGCAGGAAGGACAAGCCTGAGTACACTGCTGAAAAGCTGGGACTCGGACTGGGATAGGTGGGTGGCCATGGAAGTGGGGTGGGGCTCAGGTTTTTATTTTATAAAGTTTACTCTGGCTGTAGTGAGGAAGATGGTCTGAGGTAGCAGGCTGGGACATAGAGACACCAGAGAGTAGGCTGCTATGATTTTCCAGCTAAGAGCTGAGGCCTGGCCCTAGGCAACCACAATGAGGAAGTCCAAGGTCTGACGTTTAGGCCAGAGGGACACATGGCCAGCACTGGTGACTGACTGGACTAGCTAACAGACCCAGGAGGGGAATGGATAGCTCCTGGTTACTGGAGCAACGGGGTAAATGGAGGAATTTACAGAAGGAAAGGAAACTGGAGGAGGAGAAGGGTCAAGGGCAGATGAGCTCAGTTTGGGAAGTCTAGAATGCACCTGACAAGTCCTGCCCTCAGCCATTGATTTCCCTGTTAATTGAGGATGAGGCATCTTGGACACACTGCAGCTTTGTGCTGGGACCTCACTCTTTATGCTCTTGCAGGAGCAGCCTTGGGTGGTCTGCCCTGATTCTAAAACTATCACTATTCCTGGTTGCGGCATAGGGGCGAGAGAGTATAATCTCCAGGACTCCTCCATGCTGGGATGTTCCAGGATTTGGGATCATGAAACTTCATTTGTGGATCACGTGGGGGTAAAGGATTCTGCCTTATGGGAATACCAGGGATAAAATCAATGGTCTACCTAACTTACAGTACAAAAGCATCTGCATAAGCAGCAGCAGTAAAAACTGCATTTTTCTCATTAACTTTCCTCAAAGAAAGCAATTCTAAAAGTTTCCTTTCTTGAGACCTTCCCATAGCAGTCATAATAGTAGCTGACATTTATTGAGCTCTGACAATGTGCAGGCATTGTTCCAAACACTTAAGGTATATGGATTAATTTAATCCCCACCATAATCCTAAGCAATAGGTATAATTTATTGGCCCTATTTTACAGGGAAGGAAACTGAAGCTCAGAAAGGTTACACAGCTTGCCTAGGACCACACAAGATTAGGATTTGAACATGGGCCTCAGAGCCCATATTCTTGACTTTAATGCTATAACATTGCCCTAACTGATCCTGAGTCACATCCTTGGCTCTCTGCTCCTTTAGCAGAGGACTCTCCCCTCCATCACTCCCAACAGGCGGGTAAAGGCTTGGTCACCAAGAGCCCTGGGTGTGCAGGCAGGAGGTAAGCTCGTTGGGTACCTAGTTCAAGGCGCAGGGTGGGCCCATTCCCAGCCAGGGCAGCATCAAGGGTGGCGGAAGGTGCAGGAGGGCTGTTGTGGAACTCCCAGCGCTTCATCTGCAGCTGCTGCAGCCAGTATAGCATCACTTGCTTGGTGGTAGCCTGAGAAGCACAAGGGTTAGTTGGCAAGGCCCTGTGCCCGCAGGGTGGCACTGGGTGTGGGACGCAGGAAGGTCATGGGAGGCTTGGTACTCTCTCCTTCCCAGAAAAAATAAGAAACCTGTCAGTGTGGATAATGCTCACCTCGGAAATCCCACATGCTTCTCAGCCACGGAAGATAATCAGGCTCTGGTCTCCCACTCAGAAGTTCCTTACTCTCTCTGGGCCTCAGTTTCCTCATGTACTATGGTGATGATACCACTCATTTCGTAGGGTGGGTGCTTATGAGGATGAAATGAGGTAAAGAAGGTAAAGTGCTCAACATAATACCTGACACACAGTAGGTGCTCAAAATGTGCTCACTGGGTAAAGGAATTTGGAGGTGCTAAGAGAGAGGGCAAGAACTTTGGAATTCTGACTTGGGTGGGGCCCTGGTACCATCACTATCTCCTGTGCGACATCTTAGTGTCTTAGCTGGCGTTTTATGGAATGGGAGACTCCATCCTGTTTGGGGGATGCACTGAAATCATGCATATTATGGGACTGGAGAGCCATACGCACACTACAATAATAAAGTGGCACCCTCCAGGCACCCCCAACCAGTTAATGGATGATGCTGGTCATTAGTCTCCCAGCACTAGATGGTCCAAATACCTATTCTCACATCCATTAAGTCACCAGATCCTCCAGGAGAGAGGCAGGGGAGGAGTAATCAGTCCTTTCTATAGATGGGAGAAACCGAGCTCTGAGGTTGCACAGGCAGGTAGCATTAGAGTTGGTCCCAGACCTGGGTCTTCCATTTCTTGACCAGAGTTTTGTTATAATTTATGGCCAGGAGATGTAGCTTATGTAGAGAAAGTCTGGGATCAGTTGGGCGTAGAAGTCAGGTAACTTGCAGAGAAGAGGATGGTGAGCCTCACAGAGCTATAGATAATAAAGACCATGTGAGAACAGCGGCAGGCTATGGGCGTCCAGGGCAAGTTCCCCCTGGATGTGAGAGGGGAATCCATGAAAGAGGCTCTCAATCTGTCATGGAGGTATCAAATAAGATAAAATGATGCCCACCAGTCTTCTCTTTCTACATACTATCCCCGAGAGACCTCAGCCCCTCCTAGGGCTTCACCATGACCTTATACTAACAAGTTCCAGCTCATCCCCAAATACCTTATTTTATTAATTCATTGGACAAGTGTATACTGAGCACCTACTGTATGTGTCAGGAACTGTAGTAGGCACTGGACATACTGTGGTGAGCCAAGACACTTAAGAGTCTACTGAGATGGACATATACCTGGATGTCCCACGGTCTCCTCATCTTGGGTTCACGCTTGATGACTAGCCCAACCAGGCAGTTGGTCAGTTATAGGAGCCTTCCCTGACTCTTCCCTCAGATTCTCCATGCCTCACATCCCTAGCCACCCCATTTGTCTCCTTCTCTGTTGTCACAGCTCTGGCTTAGCCATCATTCTCTCCTGATCACTTCCTGATGGACTCCCTGACCACCAGCCTTGCCGCCTTCTAATTTGTTCTCTACTTAATAGCCAGACTGAGCTTTCTAAACATTCTCTTCTTACAGTGTTTTTTCACTTAAAGCTTTTTGGCAATTTCCTGCAGCCTACAGGACTAAGTCTAAGCTCCTTGGCATAACTCACAAATGCCCTGCCCTCCCCCTTCGGCCTCTGTTCTTCCGTTTCATCTTTTGGGCCCCTGTGTACCCCAGGCTCCCAGGATTTGTCTGGATACTCTGGGCTGTAGCATGTTTTCCTATCTTTGCTCATGGGGCTTTCTTGGCTTGAAATATCCTTCTCCCTCTTGTCTGCTTGTAGAAAACTGACTTCTTCAAGACTCAGATGTCATCCCTTTCTGTCACCATACTTTTCTGGTACAGACTTATCACAGTGTTTCTATAGAACATTGTACTGGGCATACCCATCTCCCTGTCAGTCTCTCTCACTAGACCTTAAACTGTTTGAGTGTCAGGGGGCAGGTCTGATTTTGACCCACATCCCAGTGCCTAGCACAGAGCCAGGACACATAGATCAATGGAATAGTAAAAGACACATGTTGGAGAACCTGTAGACAGCATTCAAACTGTAGGAGGAGACACATGACCCGTAAACCACACAACCTCTGAAATGCCTGCCTTCCCTGGCCTGGAATTCCTGGTTTCCATCATTTTAGCTGATCCCTCAACCCTAGTTACCAGCCAGGTCCAGACAGTAAAGGGAAACTGAAGATGTGGGCTGTATTCAAGGATCTCAATAGATACCCAACTGGCTAGAGTTCAGGTGGCAGTGTGGGAAGATGGGGTGGGGTAGAGAAGGCTGTCTCCTGGCATTCTTCTCTGATGAGTGTGAATCCTCAAACTCTTAGCCCAGATCTTTCTTTCCAATTAAGTTCTAGGGTACCTCCTCTTGGCATGAACATTCTGATCTTGGCTTCATCACCATGTGTTTCTTTAACAAACATTTATTGAGCACCCACCAGATACAAAGCTGTATTCTAGGTGCTGGGATTAATTTAACAATCCTGTGATGCGCCAGACACTTACACATCTTGTTTTAAATCTCACAAACTACCTAGATTCTGAGAGGTTAAGTTACTTGCCTAGGGTCACATGGCTAATAAGTAACTGATGTAGAATCTGAATGCAATCTTGTCTGATTTCAAAGAACAAGGCCTTTCCACTGTTTCAGTCTTTCTTGTTAAACCTGAAGGTTAAATAAAACCTACTGACGAGAAAACAGGTTTAGACATGCCTCAATAAACATTCAAGGCTAATCAGTGAAATCTAAATGTTTACCTCTCGATCCCTGACATTTTCTCTGCACTCACTCCCCTTTAGCCAAAAAAAAATCAAGAAAAATGATTCAGAATCTAGGCCTTGGGAGGAGGATTGCAAAGCTCATACCTTGACTATACTTTAACTCCAAGTAAGAAAGTTAAGGTAACTGCGTTGTTTGGCACATCCAAAAGGAAAAGTTTTGATACAGTACTGAGAGGTACAAAGACCACAGGATTCTAAGTATAAGCTACTCCACTCTCTAGATAAGTGACCTCGGGCCAGTTACTTCATCTCCCTATGATTCAGTTTCTCGTCTACCATCCCTGCCTTCGTTGTGGGAACCCAATGAGGAAATGGGTGCGAATGCGCTTGGGAAAGCACAAAACCCTGGGCATCCAGGGTTCGTTGGGTGATTAGGATCCGTGCTCATTGTTCCAGTAAATCTACTATGATCACCCAACCGGCACCCGGCCGTGCCCTGGGAACTCATCTCGGCTGAAAAGAGAAAAATCGCTCCATTTACCTTCAGGGTAATAATCCGGCCCGGAGTCTTGATTTCAAAAGTCCCCTCCTCGGCGTCCGCCTTGCAATCAAAGACCGCACTGGAGAGGTCGATGCTGTCCAAGGGATTGGCATCCTGCGCGGTCCGCGAATAATACAGGTGACATTTATTCTCGTCGTAAAAGAACCAGCGGGATTTCCAGCCCCGGATGGGGCCCTTGCCTCCAAACTTACTTAAGTATCCACAGAGTTTCTTGGGGGTCGTCTCCAGGGGCCGGGCGCAGCCCTCTGACTCTTCGGGAGGCAACACTTCGGACCCCCTGCCGGAGTCGGTAGGCTCTTCGGACCCGGGGGCAAAGGAGCTAGACTCCTGGGGTTTCTCCTGCATGCCCTCCATCGCCGCTCTCACCGCGAAGAAACAGGACCAATCTCCGAGACTTCGAAGAGGGAGGTCTCTGCGCGTGCCGAGGCCAGCAGTGACCGGTCTTCAGGAGACCATAGAGGAGTGAGGATGGCTGTGATGGGTGCGCCTCATTGACCCAATACCCAGTGGGGAGGATAGTCACGCCCCTGCTGCCCTCGCCACAGCCAAACCACGCCCATCAACTCGCCCTCTACCGGCCCCTCGTATCCCGCCTACTTCCGGCTTCTCGTCGGCGCCAGTCAGCCATCTTTACTGAGGGCAACGACGGGGCGTGAGGCGGGCCTCAGATTGAAGAGTGGCGTCACTGAGCCGGTGAGAGAGAGTCGGGAAGAGACGCTTGTCATTGACTACGCTGCCCTGGTAGCTCGCGTAATAACGTAGAAGGGTGGTTTCTTCTCACGCTCTCCGGGCCGTCGCCTTTTCTTGCCAGGTGCCGCACGTGTCACCGCCGGGCGGCGCATCGCGCGGCCATTGGCTGAGAGACGTCGGACTCGCTGGCGCCACTTCCGGCGCCTCTCTGGGAGCTCGCGGCTCGTGGTCTTTGCCCGCCCGCCTTTCCTCTGCGGCTTTAGTTTAGCGCCTGCGTGACGGTCCGCGGACCGAAGCAGCCTGTCCTGCCTTTGATCCAGCTCCCACTCTTCTCCTTCCAGCGCCGGTTGCGTTACGTTGGGCGCTCAGGTCCGACTGCTGCCCGGCCGGAACCCACTGCCACGCCTGGGGGGGGTTGGGCTCTTTGAATTTTGTAAACACAAATACATGTACTTAGGCCCTAACTCGTTTATTT